TGTTTTGAAATCAAGATCGGATCGGATTGATTGATAGGCAATAACGAAATCGATTAGTCACTTTTTTTTTTTTTTTTTTTTTGATTGATTGATTGATTGATTGATTGATTGATTGATTGGCTCGGACAATCCAATCGAATTGATCGATTCGATCGGATCCTGAATTAAAGATCCAATCAGAACAATCAATTCGATTGTCCATAAATGAATGTTTTTCTTGTTATTTATGGATTGATTCCGCCGCTTGAAAAAAAAAAACGAGAAACGTGCGTTTGGAGTTTCTCTTGTGACTTTTATGTTCCGTAGTTGCGCTGATTCAAACCGGAAATGCTGGTGAGGAGGAGTAGGAAGAGGAGGAGGAGGACTTGGAGGAGGAGGAGGAAGACTAGTTGCTGGAGGAGGAGGAGGAAGACTAGTTGCTGGAGGAGGAGGAGGAGGAGGACGAGGAGGAGGAGGAGGAAGAGGAGGAGGAGGGAGGAGGAGGGAGGAGGAGGGAGGAGGTGACGGCAAAAGGGCGGTAGTTGCTGGTTTTTTTTTTTTTTTTTGCCTTTTCGAACTTGCCCTCCCGGACGCAGCGGATGTTTTGAAATCAAGATCGGATCGGATCGATTGATAGGCAATAACAAAATCGATTAGTTACTTGTTTTTTGTTGATTGATTGATTGATTGATTGATTGATTGATTGATTGGCTCGGACAATCCAATCGAATCGATTGATTCGATCGGATCTTGAATTAAAGATCCAATCGGAACAATTGATTCGATCGTCCATAAATAAATTGTTTTTTTGTTATTGATGGATTGATTCCGCCGCTTGAAAAAAAAAAACGAAAAAAGTGCGTTTGGAGTTTCTCTTGTGACTTTCCTGGTCTGTAGTTTCGCTGATTCAAACTGGAAACGCTGGCGAGGAAGAGTAGGAAGAGGAGGAGGAGGAGGAGAATGGGGAGGAGGAGGAGAAGGAGGAGGAAGAGGAGGATGAGGAGGAGGGAGGAGGAAGACTAGTTGCTGGAGGAGGAGGAGGAGGAGGAGGAGGACAAGGAGGAGAAAGAGGAGGAGGAGGAGGAGGGAGGAGGACTAGGAGGAAAAGGCCGAAGCCGACGAAGAAGAGGAGGAGGAGGAGGAGAAAGAGAAGGAGGAGGAGGAGGAGGAGCAGGGAGGAGGAGGGAGGAGGAGGGAGGAGGAGGGAGGAGGAGGGAGGAGGTGGCGGCAAAAGGGCGGTAGTTGCTGTTTTTTTTGTTTTTTTTGTGCCTTTTCGAACTTGCCCTCCCTGACGCAGCGGCTGTTTTGAAATCAAGATCGGATCGGATCGATTGATAGGCAATAAGGAAATCAATTAGTTACTTTTTTTTTGTTTTCTTGTTGATTGATTGATTGATTGATTGATTGGCTCGGACAATCCAATCGAAACGATCGATTCGATCGGATCTTGAATTAAAGATCCAATCGCAACAATCGATTCGATCGTCCATAAATGAATTGTTTTTTTGTTATTGATGGATTGATTAGGCCGCTTGAAAAAAAAACGAAAAAAGTGCGTTTGGAGTTTCTCTTGTGACTTTCATGGTCCGTAGTTGCTGCTGATTCAAACCTGAAACGCTTTGTTTGATTCAAACCTGCCGAATATCGAAATCGGTCAGCAACTTTTTGTCGTTTTTTATTTTTACGACTGATAGGTTGATTGATTGATTGATTGGCTCGAATATTCCAATCGAATCGGTGATGATGCAAAGATCTGCTCGCACTTGGGAAAGCTGCCAACGCCACCCGGGTGCACTTGCGCAGTGTAGACAGGATCTGCCATGAGGAGCAGGGAGGGTGAGCGCTAGTTGCCGGATCAAGATTTGGTTCATCGTTTGTGTATCCGCATTGCCACCGACCAACGTCGTGACATATCAGATTCTGGGCACCACCACGATAGCACCTTGAGATGGCATTGAAAGGTACGGTACGCAACCCATTTGTTATGTGTGTGTGTTGTGTGTTTTCACTTGTTTGATTGTTACTTTGAAGGGCCCTCCGATGCACCGGCGCCTCGACGTGCGCTGCTGTCGTATCTGTATTTGATCTTATCGCTGGACCCTCCGATGGTCGGGCGCCGTCGAGGC